TATCTATCACACTGGTCATATCTATCTATCTATCTGAAGCTATTTTAATCTACAGAGTGGTCCAAAAGTCGTGTCACTCTCTAAATAATACAATTTTCTATTTCAGATGGCTGACATGAAAATGATGTTGTTCATACAGACCTTCTCGATATGTGACAATGTTAATGAAAGTGAATAAACTGAATCCAGTACACGTCCTTTGTATTACTGTATTACTTGTTCTTCTATTGGTCTCATTAGTTTTTGATAGGGATAATAAGACTTTCACTCCAACCTCTATCTTTCTAAGGCTATTTTAATCTGCAAGGTGGTCCGAAGGTTTTGTCACTCCCTAGATAATACAATTTTCTATTTCAGATGGCTGACATGAAAACCATGGTGTCAATGAAGACCTATTCGATGTATGACAGCCTCAATGAAAGTACATGTGTTTTGTATTATTGTATTACTTGTACTTCTATTGGTCTCATTATTTTTGGTAAGGCAAGACTTTCTCACCACTATCTATCTATCTATCTATCTATCTATCTATCTATCTATCTATCTATCTATCTAAGGCTATTTTAATCTACAGGCTAATAACAAGTGGTCGGGTGCCATTTTGGTAAATATATCTGTTAAAATGAGATGCCAATGTTATTTTCATTTTTTCATATGGTCTCATCATTGGTTCCAAAATGGTAAACAGGAAGAAGTCAAATGAAGCTTCGACTTGACTGATTCCTTCAGTTGTTTTAATTCTGATTCCCCCTTTACTAGACAGTCTATTACGCCTTCAGGATCCAAAAACCAGAAGCTACCACGTTGCCAACAGAACTGTTTGAACTCCTTCAAGTTGAAGAACCAGAATTTGAATTGGATATTTGATTTAGGTTCAATGCGTTGAACCGAGGTTTTATTTTGAGTTACTGATCTGCGGTGGAAATTCTCAGGGTCAACCTGGAAGCGACTGTGTCCAAGAAATTTCCAACTTTTTCAGCTTCTGGTGTCGGCATTCTTGGGACTCATCTTGCTTGCTCATCTCCAAGATCTCAGTTAAAAGAGTATGGAACAAAGCAGAAGTAATAGCTATGGAATTAGCTATCTGCTAGACAGCAAGCCATCTGTCATCTAAAAACATACGGGGAATGGCATCCACTTGTTCATCAGTGATTGAGGTTTTCTAGTTTTATAAGAAGTGGTCGGCTGCTGCCATAACAAAAATGTTCAGCAATGAATCTTCTTTCTTGGTGAGGCTTATAACTTTTTGAACGACTCTCATATGGTGGTAACTTAAGATTAATAAAAATATATTATATGAACGGAACTTCTTTTCACAGGAGAACAAAGAAAATAATAACTGATGAATAAAAATTATATTTTTCGGATTCTATTGACAACTCAAGAAATTAAGGATTTAAAGAGACAATATGAGACAATATGGAAAATCGATTCTACTCTCTGAAATCAAAGTCGAATTCTTCGCGACAGCAGTGGAAAAAAGTACTTCTGTATACCTCCAGTGTATGAACTCTAGCAAAGGCATTGAATAAGAGTCTTGATAGGGTTTATACCAACGCTCTAAGAGTGGTGAAAATGTCAGTTGACCCTTAGTATATGATTGACCAAATGTCGTATGATGACTTGCTAAAACAGATGGCGACGATTGCTGAGAGGAGAGTAAGAATTTATGGACATGGCTGAGGAAAGAAGGAAATCATTTCCAAAGTTCCCAATCATTCCCAAAGTTTTACTCTTGGAACCTACGCAAGAAAGTACCAAAGACGGAATTACAACCGTGCAAGATCTTAATGATACACCGACACTTTTCTGGTAATTTTGTTTCCAGAACAGTGCCTGATGAAGCAGTTCTTGGACCAACAAATGTCTTGGAATAATAATGCCACCGATCTACTAATTAGGCACCTTTGCGCGGATAGAATCAAAGGATTACGACTTTGAAATTTGAAATTAAACAATGAAACAATTCATAAACTGTTAATCTAGGAACCTACACAAGGGAAATGATTTTGTGGGTGACCCGCCCGTAACTTCATTGACTAATTGTTTATTAAAGAAACTGTAATGGAAGATCGTAATATCGAGAGAAGGTTGGTTGTGAATGTCTAACTGTGGCTGATTCGGTTTGTAGACATAATCAAAATTTTAATTCAATGATACAATTTATTAAAGTTAAATAACATTATTGAAATAGTGTAAGGCATGAACCAAAGAACTATTTGAACTGCTCGGAAAACTCGATTTAATAGGGAAAGATATTAGAATAATCCATAATATTGTCTGGGAACAAACTGCCTGCATACGGGTAATATTTAAAGAGACTATATAGAAAACCAAGTCTATCATTTGAAATCAAAATTGAATTCCTCAGAACAGTAGAAACAGTCCTTCTGTTCTGAACTTCTGTATAGACTCTAACGAAGGTATTGAACAAGAAATGTGTTACTTATACTAAAATGTTAAGCAGAGTGAAAATGGCAGTTGCTAGTAACACATGACTAACCAAAATTCTCTATGGTGACTTGCCAAAGCTGACGACCAAAATTGTTGAAAGGAGAGTAATATAGAAATGATTTCCAAAGTTTTACTCTGGTGACGCTGACCAATTGATTGAAGATACCAACTTCTTAAAAGAGCAATTGCAAACAGGAATTGAAGAGAATAATGTATGGAAGAGGAATCTGGTTATAAATGTCAGACCGCAGTCGATCCGGTTGGTAGGTATGTGATTTGAAATTCAGTGATACTATTTATTAATCGTAATATGTTATTTACGAACAAGCGACGTCTTTAGTAAAACTGATATACAAAAGAGTAGTAGAAAAGGAAAATTCAAACATCAGACAAATATCTTTTACTTGTAATGCAGATTATTTTAAACTAGCAGTAGAGGCCGGCGTTGCCCGGGGATGTAACAGTAAGAGATAGATCAAGTATCGACCATCATAAAGACTGAAAAATAAAATGTCTTAATTAGTTTTTTGTTTTGTTTTTTTTTTTTTTACGAATTGGTCAAACCCAAACTCAAACAAAAAATGTTTTCAATCGTTATGAGTCTACCGATTGAATAGAATTTATTATAAACAATTGTCTTGTAAAATGGAATTTTTAAAGCATTCTGAATGTAAAATAAAGAAAAAAAGTGTGCAAGACAGTAAGAAACACTACCTGCCAAAAAAAAAAAGTGAAGTTTTTGTTGAAATCGGTTGAAAATGTAGGAAATCCGATCCCATGTATAAACGAACACAGACACACACTCACAAACAACCTGGGTTTTATAATAAGTATAACTCGATATGAGTTGTTCTCTTTCATTCTCGCGACAGCGATGCCTCTTAATCGTGTTTTCAAATTGATCTCGTGCAAAAACAATTGTGTTTTTCCAATTTTTGGCGCTGTCAGAACCACCACAATTTAATTTTACGTAGTCCTGTGAGGTTTTGTTGAAATCGGTTGAAAAATGTATGAAATCCGATCCAATATATAAACGAACACACACACACACACACACACACACACACACACACACACACACACACACACACACACAACCTGGGTTTTATAATAAGTATGATAAAAAAAGACGACGCAAAGAGGTATTTGAACTGCTAATTTACTGAGAACTAAATACTTGTATATAGACCGAAAATGTATTTTGCAACTACACAAAATTAGGAAGTGGCTCTGACAAGGCTTTGTCTTCTCGCCGGGTTCATTTAACCTTTATAGCGAGGTCGTTCTATTAAAGGAGAAATTCTACAATATGTGTGGCATGGTGGGTCCTAGTCGTGAATGAAAGAACTTTGGAACTAAGGAATGTACAGAGTGGGCCGAAAGCCTTGTCACTTCTAGATAATATAGTTTTCTTTTATTTTAATGCTCTGAAATGTTTTCTGCCGAGAAAAATTTCTTGATGCGGCATAGGGAACCAACTTTAATTATTTGAATAATTATAAATATAAAAGATTTACGGAAGAGAAGATAACGAAATCGCCGCCATCAAGTCATGATATGAATCCAATCGAAAATCTATGGTCAAATTGTGAAGACGGAATTATATGAAGTTGGCTAACAATATAACAGCAAAGCAGATCTATGGGAAGCAATTAAAACTACTATGTTGGAAATTGAACCTGCTGATGTAAAAAAAAAAATAAAAAATCAATTGATTATAGATTACTGACTGTTATTGAGAAGATAGGCCAGTATATTAAAATGTAAAAAAATTCAAAAACTTATCATATTTGCTAGTTATTTGTTCTTTTATAAGTGTTGATCAATTTTTGATGATTTTATTAACTTTTTATTGAAACATGATTATTCGGTTTTGCCTAATAAGTTCAGACGGCAGTTTTTAGAATAAAGTAAACAATTAAAATAACTTCAATAAAACTTTGATACTAAATAAATTTTTAATTTTTGACATCTAAATTGATTGTTGAAAGTTTAACAATTTTGTTTCAAACCAAATTTGAATTATTGAAGTTTATATGATTTGCTTAATAACTTCAGACATTGTGTATATAGATGTGTATGAATAGACTGAGATAGATAGATAGAGAGAGAGATAGAGAGAGAGAGAGATAGAAACAGACCGAGATAGAGAGAAATATATGAACAGACTGATATATATATATATATATATATATATATATATAGAGAGAGAGATGATGGATATAAATAGATAGATATTAAAAGGATAGATAGATTGATAAATAGACAGACAGATATAGAACAGACTGGGATAGTTTGATATGAACTGATTGAAACAGATATGAACAAAAATAGACAGATATGAACACATTGAAATGAATAGATATAAACAGATTGAGATAGCTACATAACAGAATATATATATATATATATATATATATATATATATATATATATATATAGAGAGAGAGAGAGAGAGAGAGAAGTAGACAGACAGATAGACCGACAGAAAGACAGAAAGAGATTGAGAGAGAGAGCGAGATGGATAGATATGGACACACACACACCTATATATAGAGAGAGATGGATAGATAGACATGGATGTAGATACATAGATAGATAGATAGATAGATAGATGGGTACAAGGTAATAATCATTTGGTAGAAAAAACATCTGATTTCCAAAATATCTTCCTGTGTTTTCCTTGCTGTATGCGACCTTGACAGGGATATAGATATCGACATATTAGGATAGATATGAATAGAGTGCGATAGATAGATAGATAGATAGATAGATAGATAGATAGATAGATAGATAGCGAAAGAGAGAGATGAGGTAAATAATCAATTAGTAGAAAAAAACTTCTCATTTCCAAAATATATTTCGGTGTTTTCCTTGCTGTATGAGACCTTGAGAGAAAGAGAGATAGATATGGACATATAAGGATAGATATGACTATAGATTGATAGATAGATAGATAGATAGATAGATAGATAAGGTAATAATCATTTGGCAGAAAAAAAACATTGGATTTCTAAAATGTGTTTTCTTTGCCGTATGCGGCCTTGAGAGAGAGAGAGATAGATAGATCTGAATATATAAAGATAGATCTGAATAGATAGATAGATAGTGTGTGTGTGTGTGTGTGTGTGTGAGAGAGAGAGAGAGAGAGAGAGAGAGAGAGAGAGAGGTATAAGGTAATAATCATTTGGTAGAAAAACCCACCTAATTTCCAAAATGTCTTCCTGTGTTTTCCTTGCTCTATTACGACCTTGACTTTTCTCTTAAACCGCTATGTCGGTTGCCAAGCTATGTTGGTGAACTCCAAATTTATTCTCAACTGTCACGTCTGATTATTACAATTGCTTTCCAAAAAACGGAAATTTCTTTATAACTCAATCTTATAATTCGATCTCGTACAAATAGATTTAATGAAATAGATGCTTTTGCATATCATGGCGATCAACAATTATTTACACCAACACTTCGCTAATATTGTTATCCATGAATTCTCAAGATATAACGATCTTCCAAATGTTCTCTTCTGCTTACGGTCTCCATATTATTTTGATAAGTGAAAATAGTAGACAGTTTTTTATTTGCCATATTGTCTTTAATTATGCTAAAAAATATTCTTACAGACGAAATGGTTTGCAGGTTTTGTGACAATTCATTGAATTTTACCGACATTGAAATGTTAGGGGGGGGGCTAAAACTAGAACGACACATAATTTAATAAACTCACATATATATGAATATACATAGGTAGATATGAACAGAATTAGATAGATAGATAGATAGATAGATAGATAGATAGATAACGGACATAGTGAACGAGTGAACAGAATTAGATAATAAGAATAAAGATAGATAGATAGATAGATAGATAGATAGATAGATAGATAGATGAATAGGTATGACTACAGATAGATAGATAGATAGATAGATAGATAGATAGATAGATAGGTATGATTGTAGATAGATAGATAGATAGATAGATATCACTACAGATAGATAATATGAAGATAGATAGATAGATAGATAGATAGATAGATAGATAGGTATGACTATAGATAGATAGATATGAACATAGATAGATAGATATGACTACAGATAGATAATATAAAGATAGATAGAGGCGTAAATTTCAGAGTATATCTGTAAAAGGACAATATGAATAAAAAGAAAATAAAAATTTATCTTAGCCGACGCGTTTTGTCCTCTGCATGATTTTATCAAGATTAATGTAAGAAAAGTTAGGGGTGGTTGTGGTAAAAGGGGGCAACACATAATTTAATAAACAAACATATATATGAATATACACCCGTGTGCAAATTAACTGAAACCACCGCTTTAGTTTTCTTTCTTTCACCATACGGTCACTTTTACATCCACTGGATGCCATGGTGTAATCAATTTCTATTTTTCCTCAGATGAATCAGGTGTAATCGATTTCTAGTTTTCCTCATTTGCAGTGGTGTGCATCAGTGGTATGAATCTATTTTCGGGGTGTATGATGAAATTTGTTTGGCCTTGAAAAATATTGGGTCATCCGTGATTGTCTCAGATGAGATTGAAAGTACTTGGGAAAATAAAAACTATTCGAAAGACAATTTTGGCATTTTTCTTATTCATTTTTCTAAAATTTCTTCAAAACTAATCAGCGAACTTGAAAGAATCTCAACGAAAACTAATCGACATGATATGTCTAAATTATTTAACCAAACCTGTTTGAATATATATATATATATATATATATATATATATAATATTATTGGTTAATACACACACACAAACGCATATATATATAAAATATATAAATGTATACATATACATACATGCACATACATACTACAAATTCCAAAAGTTCTGATGAATTGGATCGTAATTACGATTCCAATGTAATAAATTATAACCATGGAATATTAGTGTTTAAGCCATTTTATTATATATATATATATATATATATATATATATATATAAGTGTAGATGGTCATGCACGAAACCTTCACCATTATAATCAAATATCATGTGCTGTTGTTGGGCTGTCGGTTTCCTAGGGACTGATCTGTTTGACCCTCTTACGCCGAATTCGACGGGAGAGTCGAGATTAGTATATATATATATATATTGTCATGGGTCCTTACCTATAACTACAGAATGAACACTTCCTAACACTATGTATACTATGCCTCTCAAGAGAGAGGGTCGAATCAAGCCGAGCTTCTCGACTTGACGGTCGAACTCTCTGCTTCTGAGCAGAAAGGAACCCGGACGAGGCTCCGGCGAAGGGCAGAATCTCGTTCGGGAAGAAATGACCAACCCGATCTCGTTTATACGGGATATACGGGCATTTTTTGGCTGAGCCTACGGGCTCGGGAAACCCACGATAAACTCTGCCTTGTTCCACATGCAACCCTCGTGGGGGGTGGTGGCTAGATACCGAATCAAGCCGAGCTTCTCGACTTTACGGTCGAACTCTTTGCTTTTGAGCAGAAAGGAACCCGGACGAGGCTCCGCCGAAGGGCAGAGTCTCGTTCGAGGAAAATGACCAGCCCGATCTCGTTTATACGGGTTATACGGGCATTTTTTGGCCGAGCCTACGGGCTCGGGAAACCCACGATAAACTCGGCCTTGTGCCACATGCAACCCTCGTGGGGGTGGCTAGATACCGAATCGAGTCGAGCCGATAGTAGTTCACTCCAAACCAGACTGACAGTCATACTAACACCTTCCACATCTTGTATTATTATTTCGTGTAATATACCTTCGTTATTTCTACTCTTGTGTTCGTGTTGTTCTTCCTTGGTCCTAACCAGGACCATAACATATATATATATATATATATATATATATATATATATATATATATATATAAAAATGAAGAAAAGGTAGATAGATATGAAGAAAAGGTGATAGATAGACATGAATAGAACAAGAAAATAAATTGATATGAAAATAAATTGATATGAAAAAAAGAGATAGATAGATAGATAGATAGAAATAAGACATCTTTCCGGATGAAACCTTTCGAAAAGGTATCTTTCCAGAAGACCTTATTGAATCAATATCTAGGTTTGCTGGCCGGAAGTTGGTACACAATTTCTCTCGTTAGAATCTGTCTTGCACATATATCAATCTACCATTGGTCCGTGCATTGAATAATTCAGCCATATCTGGTGCAATGATCCTATTAAAAATTTCGAGATTCTTGGCAAAATTCAAAGAAGGCTTTGTAATATATTCGATTCCTACCTGGCATCTCGACTTCAGTCATTTTCTTACCGACATGATGTGACATTTTTCTGTTTTTCTAGAAATATTTCATGGAAATTGTCCTGATGATCTTTCCTCCTAGGTGACTTGACTGCATAAATTTAAGCGTGCTACCGGATTGTCAGCCATGTTTCATCGTTTTATTGTTGAACATGCTAGATGCAAGCGTATGCCCTATTTCAATAGTTTCTCTTCTCGCCTGTGGAACGCCTTTCGGATTTATTAATTCCCTCCCATTTATGATCTTCTAAAACGTTAAATATAATGCCAAAAGCCAATTTTCCTAAATGCTTTTTTCTAATTCCTTCTTAATCCTAATTAAAGCGAATGATTTTTTTTCGGATTTTGTAAACAAAAAAAAAAATCATCAAGTAAGAGAAACTACATCACTTGAAGACTTTCAGCAACTAAAATGAATAGTGCATGTAACTCGAAGAGAAATTAATGGCATAATCAAGGTGTTGAATTTCCACACAAACCTCAACATAACATTAGGAGGGAAACCCTCATCAAGGTTAGAAAGAAAGATAAGTGTTAGGGAACTCCTGAAAAACAGTTTAAAGAGAAAGGTTTTGTAAATCTAATCCAACCCTAACGCTAACTGAATGCTGAATGTTTCCTTATAAGGAAACGGTAAATATCACTGTCACCACTACGCAATCCCCAACGGTGACCATTGTCTACTACATGAATTTTTATCCAGAAGAAGTAATATGCCTCCTTCTCTATTTGTATAGGATCCGGCATACTTGAGTTACTTACCTCATCTTTAGTCATGACCGTTTTGGGTTCCTTGAGTGTGGCTATAATTTCTGTTTTCTATGAAGTTCTTAAATATATTGAACCGTTTTTTATGATATTCTGCTATCGACCTTGAAGAATAATCTTTCATAACACTTTGGGTTTCTTATAAACTCTGGTCATCCATAGAAACTTTTGACTATCGTTATCAAAATTTTATTTCAGATTTTATTTACGACACCCTCTTCGAGATTCAACACCAATTAGACAAGAACGAACATGTTTGGTCCCTTCTTCTTTTTGCTTTTAATCAAATTCGCAAGGTACTCAAAGCTGCTCGAGATATTTATGCTGTGTACGGAGATGGCTTCAATGCCGAGAGATTATCCCAGAAATGGTTTTCCTGTTTCAAAGAGGAGGAATTCAAATTTACAGACTCTCTGCGTTCTGTTTGACCTGTTCAGTTTGATGAGGACCAATTGCAGGCGCTGATTAAAGAAACCGCATCAGTACTCCAGGGAATTGGCCCAGAAGATGGCAAATTCTCGTGTGAACGCCGTTTGCTATCTTCACTCAATGGGTAAAGTCCAGAACAAACAAAATCTCAAAGAGGCAATTCACCTGAAAAGACCTGACAGTCGATACAGTGTAATTATTCAACAAAATAATACTATTATTTCTGTAAAGGCCAAACGAGACTATAACGAGAATTGGCTCACAAGATGGCAAGCTCTCGTTTGAGCGCCGTTTGATATCTTCACTCAGTGGGTAAAGTCCAGAACAACCAAAAGCTAAAAGAGGCAATTCAGATGAAAAGGCTGACCGTCGATAAGTGTAATTATTCAAAATAATAATAATCGTCCCTATATCGATAACCTGACCAAACATGCAATTAATGAGCTGAGTTGGGAAGTTCTACTATGTCCACCATATTCTCCTATTTAGCCTTGTCAAATTAACCCATTTGCAACCGCTTTCTAACAATTTGAAGGGTGTTTCGTTCAACAACGATGTGGAGCTTGTAGACTCAAAACCTAATGAATTCTATATCACTGTTTTTGATCATTGCCATGAGGTTATTAACAATAAAGGGGAATACAGTGCTTAATGATTCATCAGAACTATTAATAAATAATATATATTAAAATAAATAATAAATATAAACGGATTTATATAACAACTTATTACCTTATTTGAGTTGCTAAATACAAAGTATGTTGTACATGCTGTTTTCTTGTTTTGTTTTTTTAGTAAGTAACCCGCTCTAACGTGAACGTTGTGAAGGGCAGGTCTAACATTAAATACAGTTAAAAAAGATGTCTTCCTGTTATGATTGGCTGTATAAAAAGCGAAAACCTTTGGCCTTATCCGATGGAGACCTGCTGAGGACACGCAGATTTGCCTTGTAGGAAAATCATCAGGAACATGCATAAAGGTTATCCAAACTATTCACAAAAAGGTTAATTTGTATCTTGAACTGATTTGATCTTTACGACTGAAGAAAAGTATTTTTCAAAAGTCTGCAACCAGCTTAGAGTTTAATGTTATCTATTATGTATGAGGTTGGACTGGAAAATATACATCATTTTCATAAAAAAAGAAAAAAAATAGCCTCCCTAGGACAATGGCGTCTTAGTCCACTTCAAACTATTCCCTTTTGTTACCTCGCAGATATCCCTGTCTAAATTGATAAGAAGCTGTAAAATCTATTTCGGAATCAATAGCAGCAGTTTCAACACATTCTTCTTAATCTCGCCCGTTGTCTTTCACCAGAGGTTTCGGCGTAAGATAAGAAAATGTTAGAGAAAAGCATCCAAATCTGGATGGTTTTTACGATATTGTTTACACACGACAAGAGCCACACAAGGCTGCTGAATGGATATAGGGACATTCAAGATAAATAACGGCTGACCTTAGATTTGAAGCTTGTAGGGGAAGCATCCTCTTGGGAGTCTGTTCCGCAAAGTAGCGTGTCTCGGGAAGTAGTTTTTCAAATGGAACTTCCTTATAGCAAAAATACGAAGTGGGTGATAGATAGGAACAAACTGAGATAGATAGATAGATAGATAGATAGATAGATAGATAGATAGATAGATAGATAGATATGAACAGACTGAGAAAGATAGATAGATAGACATGAACAGTCATAGATTAATACAGATAGATAAATAGATATGAACAGACTGAGATAGATAGATAGATAGATAGATAGATAGATATGAACAGACTGAGATCGATAGATAGATAGATAGATAGATAGATATGAATAGACTGAGATCGCTCGATCGATAGATAGATAGATAGATAGACAGACATGAACAGTCATAGATTAATACAGATAGATAGATAGATAGATAGATATGAAAAGACTGAGAAAGATAGATAAATAAACATGAACAGTCATAGAATAATGCAGATAGATAGGTAGGTAGAAATGAACAGACTGAGATAGATAGATGGATAGATGCGTAGAAAGATAGATATTGTAGATAGCTTGAAAGAAAGATATAAGCAGACTGAGATAGATAGATAGATAGATAGATAGATAGATATGAACAGATTGGGATAGATAAATAGATAGATAGATATGAACAGACTGAGAAAGATAGATAGATAGATAGACATGAACAGTCATAGATTAATACAGATAGATAGGTAGATAAATATGAACAGACTGAGATAGATAGATAGATAGATAGATAGATAGATAGATAGATATGAATAGAGATCGATAGATAGATAGATAGATAGATAGATAGATAGATAGATAGATATGAACACACTGTGGATATGGAATGTCGCGTGTTGGCTGTAAAGGTCTGAAATGATAGAAAAAAAAAATGAAGCCTTCACTTTTCACTTCCTTCCACAGACGTTAGTAACTACACATTCCATTTTCTCGCTTCTCATTATGGATTTCCATTGTTCCATCCAGTCTTCTAGAGGCAGCTGGTTTTACTCTTATGTTCTTTGCTTCAATTAAAAAGTAAGGAATACAGAAAGATTTTCGTCATATCTGCATTGTCTTCTGTTAGGCTTTAGTCACAAGGTCGAGCCGTTTCTGAATTTTGAGATGAAGTTGCATGGCAAATGTTGAAAATAATATCAGAATATTTCATAATTGCTAGCAAACTCAACCAAGGTCACCCAGTGTTGTTCTTCAGTGTGGCGAAATTTTCTTTTCTTTCAGGGTATGGCAAATTCTAAAATTTGCAGGTTCCCAGTCTTTTAAACAATCTAGTTGTGTTAAATTATTGCAGAAATATATAACATTTGTGAGGTGCTAAATATAATAGTTTTATTTAAAGAAGCGTCTATTCAAACATGTGTATATCCACTGCCGTGTGGACACTACTGCTGCTTCTTTTTCATGCTTCGTTTCATACTGATGCAGCTGACTTCTTCTGACGAGGAGGGCCGGTGGTGTAATGAATAGCGGATTGAGGATACGGAGATCCGAGTTCGAATTCAAGTCGAATCCATCACATTCACTTATGTGCTAATACACTTGGGAAAGGTATGAATCCTCTTCTTTCTCCATCTATGGGTAAATAGCAGGACAGACCTGCCTTGTATGGTGTTAAGAGACCTTACCCATAATAACATAATGGACTATTCCATACGTAATAAATACTGCGCCTCAAGAGGAAGCAGGGAGTTCAGTCCGAAGTCGGGCTGACCGGCTGATCGGTTGAACTCTTTGCCTTCGGGCGAGGAGGAACTCGAACGAGGCTACGCCGAAGGGCGGAGTCTCTTTCGGGGAGGTAAACCGACCCTGAACACGTTTATACGGGTTCAAAGGGCATATTTTTGGCCGATACCACGGGCTCGGAGATCCCACGTTAAACCGGCCTTGTGCCACATGATGCCCTCGTAGGGGGGTGACTAAATACTGTTCAGTCTGAAGTCTGGAGTGAAGTCCGTCAGGAGTCTGTCAGTCAGTCGAGTCAGAGGCAGTCCGAAACGGAGTCGCATTCAGACAATTACTACTAAACCTGATTGTTCGTACTAACACTTCCTACTTCTCTGTATATATTCCTGTTTGTAATATATCTGTGTTATTCCATATCCGTGTTCGAGTTCTTCTTTATTGGTTCTAACACCGTGGTACAAGGAACCGGACCATAACATATGGCCACTGGTCTACAGCAGAAAGAAATGACAACCTACTGCGGGAAAAATCTGCCTCGTCAGTCATGTATCGAAAGGTGCCTTTTCGCCTAAGCGTGTATCACGCATGGCACATAACTGACTGGCCCTTGGGAAAGGTATGCATCCTCTTCTTCTTACCCCTAGCTATGGGTACATAGCAGGACAGACCGAGTTCTATAGCCTTGGATGGCAACTGGTCTACCGCAGAAAGAAATGGCAACCTACTGATGGAAAAAGAAGTAATGGATAGCGGCTTGGATTGAGGAATCGGAGAGCCGAGTTCGAATTCCAGTCAAATCCATTACATTCACTTTCATGATAATACCATTAGGAAAGGTATGAATCCTTTTCTTCTCCTCCAGCTATGGGTAAAAAGCAGGACAGACCGGGTTCTATAGCTTTGGATGGCAACTTGTCTACCACAGAAAGAAATGGCAACCTACTGCGGGAAAAAATCTACCTCGTCAGTCATGTATCGAAAGGTGCCTTTTCGCTCAGCGTGTATAACTGACTGTATACCCACTAAATATAAATTAATCGGAATGAAAGTTTTAAATGTCCGAAATTTTTTCAGGAAAACCTTATTTCTTATTTGCAAAATATTTTTTTCTTAGTGAATCTTCTGCTGAAACTGGTGTATATCCATGAAATATGAAATTAATAGAAATAAAAATTATAGTTCTCTGAATTGCTTCTGGACTGAGTTGGAAAATATGTTTTTTTTTTACTGAAATAAACAGCTAATGAAGCTTATGTATACACACTGAATATAAAATTAATAGGATAAACATTAGAGTTGTCGGAATTTTTTCCCGGAAAAGGTTATATTGTTTTTTTTTTTTTTTTGGCAAAATATGTTTTTTTTTCTTAAAGAAACTTCTAGTCAAACATGTGTATATTGAATAAATATAAAATTAATAAGAAATAAAAATTATTGTACTCTGAACTTGTTTACAGAAAATCTTACATTTGTCTGTTGCAGAGCATGCTTTGTCTTAAATATAGAATCAAGTATTTGTATATCTACGAAATATGAAATTAATTTGGAATAACAATTACAATTGTCTGAACTTGTTTCCGGAACGTCTTAAATTTTTGTGCTGGAAAATATGTTTTTTTTGACTGAAATAAACATCTAATGAACCTTATGTATACATTATGATTATAAAATTTATAGGATAAAAATTATATTTGTCGGAAATTTTTCCCGGAAATTGTTATATTGTTTTGTTGCAAAACATGTTTTTTTCTTAAACAAACTTCTAGTCAAACATGTGTATATCGACTAAATATAAAATTATCTGTCCATATTTCTGAGATGAGCCATTACTTAAATTATTCGGACTATTGTCCCCATTTTGTCGCCATATTTAGGACACATGGCACAGTGGATAAAGGCGTTGGTTAGATCCAATGACAGGACCCAAAGCGTGTGAGTTCAATACCCGGTTAAGGCAGTGGAGAACTTGGAGAGGGGAATTAACAGGAGATAACTGATAACTGACATCCATTGGAACTAGAACAGTCTAGCCAGTGAGCGAAATAAAGGGTTAAGTTCGACATTCCAACCACCTGAAGAAGGCCGGAGCGTACATCGGCAGAATAGTTGTAACAAATATGGCGACAAAGATGAGGACAATAATCCGAATAATGTAAATATTGAATATAAAATTAATAAGAAATAAAAATTATTGTTCTCTGAACTTGTTTACAGAAAATTGTCTGTTGCAGAACATGATCTGTCTTAAAGAAATGTAGAATCAAGCATGTATATATCTGTTACATATGAAATTAATTTGGAATAACATAATTGTCTTAACTTTTTCCGGAAAGTCTTACATTTATGAGTTGGAAAAAATATTTTTACCCAAAGAAACATCTAAGGAACCTTGTGTATACTCACTGAATATAAAATTAATAGGATAAAAATTATATTTGTCGGAAATTTTTCCGGAAAAATGTTACATTGTTTTCTTAGAAAAATATGTTTTACTTAAAGAAACTTCTAATCAAATATGTGTATATCCACTAAATATGAAATTAATAGGAATAAAAATTACAGTTGTTTGAAATTGTTTCCCAAATGTCTTACATTGATGTGTTGGAAAATATTCTTTTTTCATAGGGAAACATATAACCAAACGTGTATATCCACCAGATATAATTAGAATTTAATGTGAGGATCACAAAATATTAGAGGTTCACATTTTAATCTCTTTTATAATCCTGATCCAAATTTTTTCCTCTTGCTTTGAAATCCGGATCACAAATCCTTGGCGTACTGGGTATGACGATAAACTACATCCGCGTCCTGGGTAAGACGATAAACTATATCTGCATCCTGGTTATGACGATAAACTACATCCGGGTTTTAGGTATGAAGATAAACTACATCCGCGTCATGGATAAGACGATAAACTACATCCGCATCATGGATAAGACGATAAACTACATCTGCGTCCTGGGTAAGACGATAAACTACATCCGCGTCATGGGTAAGACGATAAACTACATCCGCGTCACGGGTAAGATGATAAACTACATCTGCGTCCTGGGTAAGATGATAAACTACATCCGCGTCCTGGGTAAGGCGATAAACTACATCCGCGTCACGGGTAAGACGATAAACTACATCTGCTTCCTGGGTAAGACGATAAACTAAATCCGAGTCACAGGTAAGATGATAAACTACATTTGCGTCCTGGGTAAGATGATAAACTACATCCGCGTCCTGGGTAAGATGATAAACTACATCCGATTCCTGGGTAAGATGATAAACTACATCTGCGTCATGGGTAAAGCGATAAACTACATCCACGTCCTGGGTATGACGATAAACTACATCATCGTCCTGGGTAAGACAATAAACTACATCTGCTTCCTGGGTAAGACTATAAACTACATCCGCCTCCTGGGTAAGATCATAAACTATATCTGCATATTGGTATGACGATAAACTACATCCGCGTCCAGGGTAAGACGATAAACTACATCCGCATCCTGGGTAAGACAATAAACTATATCTGCGTCCTGGGTAAGACGATAAACTACATCCGCGTCATGGGTAAGACGATAAACTACATCCGCATCCTGTGTAAGACGATAAACTACAACTGCGTCCTGGGTAAGATGATAAACAATATCCGCATCCTGGCTAAGACGATCAACTACATCTGCATCCTTGGTATGACGATAAACTACATCTGCGTCTTGGGTAAAGCGATAAACTACATCCGCATCCTGGGTAAGACGATAAACTACATCCACGTCCTGGGTAAGATGATAAATTACATCTGATTCCTGGGTAAGACGATAAACTACGTCTGCTTCCCGGGTAGGACGATAAACTAAATCCGCGTCCTGGGTAAGACGAAAAACTACATCTGCGTCCTGGGTAAGACGAAAAACTACATCTGCGTCCTTGGTAAGACGATAAACTAAATCCGCGTCACGGGTAAGATGATATACTACATCTACGTCCTGGGTAAGATGATAAACTACATCCGCATCCTGGGTAAAATGATAAACTACATCCGATTCCTGGGTAAGACGATAAACTACATCCGCATCCTGGGTAAGACGACAAACTACATCTACGTCCTGGTTAAGACGATAAACTACATTTGCGTCCTGGGTATGACGATAAACTACATCCGCATCCTGGGTAAGACGATAAAATATATTTGCGTCCTGGGTAAGGCGATAAACGACATCCGCGCCCTGAGTAAGACGATAAGCTACATCCGCATCCTGGGTAAGACGATAAACTACATCCACATCCTGGGTAAGACAATAAACTACATCTGCTTCCTGGGTAAGACCATAACCTACATCCGCGTCATGGGCAAGACAATAAACTACATCTGCGTCCTGCGTGTGACGATAAACTAGATCTGCGTCGTGGGTAAGATCATAAACTACATCCGCGTCCTGGGTAAGACGATAAACTACATCCACATCCTGGGTAAGACGATAAACTACATCCGCATCCTGGGTAAGATGATAAACTACATCCGCGTCCTGGGTAAGACGATAAACTACATCCGATTCCTGGGTAAGATGATAAACTACATCTGCGTCATGGGTAAAGCGATAAACTACATCCACGTCCTGGGTATGACGATAAACTACATCATCGTCCTGGGTAAGACAATAAACTACATCTGCTTCCTGGGTAAGACTATAAACTACATCCGCCTCCTGGGTAAGATCATAAACTATATCTGCATATTGGTATGACGATAAACTACATCCGCGTCCAGGGTAAGACGATAAACTACATCCGCATCCTGGGTAAGACAATAAACTATATCTGCGTCCTGGGTAAGACGATAAACTAAATACGCGTCATGGGTAAGACGATAAACTACATCCGCATCCTGTGTAAGACGATAAACTACAACTGCGTCCTGGGTAAGATGATAAACAATATCCGCATCCTGGCTAAGACGATCAACTACATCTGCATCCTTGGTATGACGATAAACTACATCTGCGTCTTGGGTAAAGCGATAAACTACATCCGCATCCTGGGTAAGACGATAAACTACATCCACGTCCTGGGTAAGATGATAAATTACATCTGATTCCTGGGTAAGACGATAAACTACGTCTGCTTCCTGGGTAGGACGATAAACTAAATCCGCGTCCTGGGTAAGACGAAAAACTACATCTGCGTCCTGGGTAAGACGAAAAACTACATCTGCGTCCTTGGTAAGACGATAAACTAAATCCGCGTCACGGGTAAGATGATATACTACATCTACGTCCTGGGTAAGATGATAAACTACATCCGCATCCTGGGTAAAATGATAAACTACATCCGATTCCTGGGTAAGACGATAAACTACATCCGCATCCTGGGTAAGACGACAAACTACATCTACGTCCTGGTTAAGACGATAAACTACATTTGCGTCCTGGGTATGACGATAAACTACATCCGCATCCTGGGTAAGACGATAAAATATATTTGCGTCCTGGGTAAGGCGATAAACGACATCCGCGCCCTGAGTAAGACGATAAGCTACATCCGCATCCTGGGTAAGACGATAAACTACATCCACATCCTGGGTAAGACAATAAACTACATCTGCGTCCTGCGTGTGACGATAAACTAGATCTGCGTCGTGTCTAAGATCATAAACTACATCCGCGTCCTGGGTAAGACGATAAACTACATCCACATCCTGGGTAAGACTATAAACTACATCCGCATCCTGGGTAAGATGATAAACTACATCCGCGTCTTGGGTAAGACGATAAACTATATCTGCGTCCTGGGTAAGACGATAAACTACATTTGCGTCCTGGGTATGACGATGAAATCCATCTGCGTCCTGGGTAAAATCATAAACTACATCCGCGTCCTGGGTAAGACGATAAACTACATTTGCGGACTGGGTAAGACGATAAACTACATCCAAACCCTGGTTAAGACGATAAACTAGATCCGCATCCTTGGAAAGACGATAAACTAAATCCACGTGCTAGGTATGACGATCAACTACATCTGCCTCCTGGGTAAGATCATAAACTACATCCCCATCCTGGGTAAGACGATAAACTACATTTGCGACCTGGGTAAGATTATAAACTTCATCTGCGTCTTGGGGATGACGATAAACTAGATCCGCCTCCTGGGTAAGACGATAATCTACATCCGCTTCCGGGTTAAGACGATAAACTACATCTCGCGTCCTGGGTAAGACGATAAACTATATTTGCCTCCTGGTTAAGACGATAAACTACATCTGCGTTCTGCATAAGACGATGAACTACCTTTGCATCCTGGGTATGACGATAAACTACATCGGCGTCCTGTGTAAGACGATAAATTACATCTGCATCCTGGGTAAGACGATAAACTACATCTGCGTCCTGGGTAAGATTATAAACTACATCCGCGTCTTGCGTAAGGCGATAAACTACATCCCCGTCCTGGGTAAGACGATAAACTACATCCGCGTCCTGGTTAAGACTATAAACTACATGCGCGTCACGGGTAAGACGATAAACTACATCTGCATCCTTGGTATGACGATAAACTACATCTGCGTCCTGCTTAAGTCTATAAACTACATCCGCATCCTGGGAAGACGATGAACTACATCCGCGTCCTGGGTAAGACGATAAACTACATCCACATCCTGTGTCAGACGATAAACTACATCCGCTTCCTGGGTATGACGATAAACTACATCTGCGACCTGGGTATGTTGATCAACTACATCTGCGTCCTGTGTAAGACGATATACTACATCCGCGTCCTGGTTATGACGGTAAACTACATCTGCGTCCTGCGTATGTTGATCAACTACATCTGCGTCCAGGGTAAGATCATAAAGTACATCCGCATCCTGTGTAAGACGATAAACTACATACGCGTCCTGGATTTCACGATAAACTACATTTGCAACCTGGGTAAGACGATAAACTATATATGCGTCCTGGGTAAGATGATAAACTGCATCCGCATGCTGGGTAAGACGATAAACTATATCCGCGTCCTGGGTATGACGATCAACTATATCTGCCTCCTGGGTAAAATCATAAACTACATCCGCCACCTGGGTATGACGATAAACTACATGCACGTTCTGCGTAAGACGATAAACTACATCCGCCACCTGGGTAATATGATAAACTAGAACCGCATCCTGGGTTAGACGATAAACTACTTTTGTTTCCTGGGTAAGACGATAAACTACATCTGCGTCGTGGGTAAGATCATAAACTACATCCGCGTCCTGGGTAAGATCATAAACTACAATCGCATACTGGGCAAGACGATAAACTACACCCACATCCTGGGTAAGACGATAAACTACATCTGTGTCCTGGGTATGTCGATCAACTACATCTGCGTCCTGGGTAATA